CTGTGGTGGTGGTTATCATTCTGACATAAACCATTATGTGGTTTCATAACCTGAAACTCCATTAAACTTCCCACCCCATCCATATCCGTCTTTTTTTTTTTTTAACTTTTTAATGTTTATTTATTTTTGAGAGATAAAGAGAAGACAGAGCATGAGCAGGGGAGGGGCAGAGAGAGATGGAGACAGAATGGGAAGCAGCTCCAGGCTCTGAGCTGTCAGCACAGAGCCCGGCCTGGGGATGGAACCCATGAACCGTGAGATCACGACCTGAGCCAAAGTCAGACGCTTAGCCAACTGAGCCACCCAGGGGCCACCATATATGCCTTTAATTTTTAGTGGAGTCACACTCTTTTCATTTTAAGACATACATTTAAAACATAATTACACCAAAAAGTCACTTTAAAGACAGTGGTTCCTTCACAAAATAATAATACCATCTTCCATATGACTAATGTCTTGACGTCTTCATCCTATTTCATGTATGCTCATCATAATTCCACAAAAGAGGTATGAGGCCACACAAACTTTTATGAGAGAAGAGAAGATACAGAAGGGTAAGCTAATGCTTAGAGAGAACTCATTTAATCTGTATAGCAACCCTATGTAGTAGGCATTATTATTACTTTTTTAGAGATATTGAAACTGAGGTTCAGAGAGGTTGAGTAACCTATCCAGAGTCACACAGCTAGTGAAATCAGAGCTAGGATTCAAATTGCTTTCTGCCCCTTACCCCTTGTACTGTACATTCTCATTTTGCAGAGGACTGCAGCTAAAGCCTTGCACCCAGATCCCAACTGGGTCTTCCTCTATAAGGCTGTGATTTGGAACAACTGATTTATTTTCTCTAAATCTCATTCTCCTCACTTATAAAACAATGATCATCACACTGACATACTGTTATTGTGGGGTTATTGGAAGAATTAAAACTGGGGAGCCTGGATCACTCAGTTGGTTGAGCGTCCGAGTCTGATTTCAGTTCAGGTCATGATCCCAGAGTTGTGGGATTGAGCCCTGTGTTGCGCTCCGTGCTCAGCATGGAGCCTGCTTGAGATTGGCTCTCACTCTCTCTCTCTCCTTGTTGAACTCTCTCTCTAAAAAAAAAAAGAAAGAAAGAAAAAGAAATTTGAACACTGAATACTTTTTTAGAAATGAATATGTATTATGTGTATCTATAGTGGATAATGAATTCTATCTTATTATTATTATCATTATTATTATTACTATTGAGAATGCAGGCCTTATTTATGTCCCTTACTTCTATGGTCTTTTATCAGCCCATTCCAAAGGTCCACAGTCTCAAGACTTTTAGGAAGGATACCTTGTGAATAATCAGAAAGGCTCTTGCTGTTTTCTCTCATCATCTACTAGCAAGTGGTGATGTTTATAACGAGACTGATGAGGCTGTTATTGTCAGAACACCCAGGTGATGTCTGTATCCTCTGCTAGCTAAAACTCCATACTATACCTATGAGTTCCCAGAATAGACATCTCTGGACCTAAGACTCTTCCAGATGTACAGCTAGTGAAACATCCCCACTGTTTATTTCCTATAGTTTTGAATGGTGAAACACTTTAAATCTAATTTTAGCTTGTAATAAAAATTTATCTTCTAGTGACTTATTTTGATAACTGTTTTCAGTGGGAATTTTGATAAAAGTAGATTTTTTTCTTACAATGGATTCCAAGAAACTTGAGTCAATCACCCACAGAATTTCTCTGAATTATTTGTAGTAGGTCAAATGGGAAATAGCGTCTTTTAAGAAAGTCCTTATTTGATCACGGCTTTGCATTTCACTCACCTTAAACTAAGTTGTCTTTTCTTGGGAAGAGAAGAGACTTTTTGTTCCTTACATGAAATGAAGTTCCATTTAAAATGCACATGTGTTGAAGGCCTGCTGAGGGCTCGCACTATGGTGGCATGGGGGATGAGGGGAAGCCAAAGATGAATGGCATGTGGACTCCTCCTTCATGCACCTAGCAGCCTGGTAAGGACCATGGATTCCTCTGGAGTGACAAGAACGCATTAGACTCTTGGCATGTTTTAACAGATGTATGAAATGCACTGCTTTTGATGCAAATGGTATTTTTTAAGTTCATTGCAAGTACTTGCTATTAAACAGGCAAATTACAGTTCAAGCTGATGGTCCTGATCTTGTGCAAATTGCATTTATTTCTCATATTAATTGATGAAGTTGACATCCTTAGATCGCTTAGACTTTGTTACTGAAGTGACAGCCCTCGTACCTGGCTCTTAAATTAGTCTTGTAGGTATTTGCCGTAGGAGGTGCCTCTTACTAAACACACAGATGGCCTTTCCATTTGTTGACTGAAATTACATTTTAAGATAATATGCATCTAAATTACTAGGTTTTGGCGTATTTACTTAAAGCATAACTTATCATCTCATAGATGTGTCTAATGCGCTGGCAAATTGACTCAGAAGGCAAAAAGAACAGCTAAAGATGAGCATTGGGGTATAGCTGCTTTTCCATATTTTTCTCCATTTCCCATATGTCACTTTTGATCTCTTAGGAAAGCTGTCCTATTTATATTGCTATTGAGTATTTCTACTCTCAAAATTACAGTTTTCATAGTATACAGAAGTCAAGCCTTTTTTTAAAAATGTTTATTTGCTTATTATGAGAGAGAGAGAGAGAGGGAGAGAGAGAGAGAGAGAGAGACTATAAGCCTGTGAGTTGGGGAGGGGCAGAGAAAGAGGGAGAGGGAGAATCCCAAGCAGTCTCCGTGCTGTCAGTGCAGAGCCTGATGTGAGGCACCATCTCACAAACCATGAGATCATGACCTGAGCCGAAATCTGGAGTCAGACACTTAATTTTTTTTTTTTTTTTTACAAATAGTTTATTGTCAAATTAGTTTCCACATAACACTCAGTGCTCATCCCCACAAGTGTCCTCCTCCATGCCCATCCCCCCTCCCCCCCACATCCATCAGTCCTCAGTTTTTGTCAGCATTCAAGAGTCTCTCATGGTTTGCCTCTCTCCCTTTCCCCCACCATTTCCGCCCTTCTTCTCCCCCTTGTTCCTCCGTCAAGTTCCTCCTAATCCTCCTATACGTGCAAACATATGATATTTGTCCTTCTCTGCCTGACTTATTTCGCTCAGCATAACCCCCTCAAGGTCCATCCATGTTGCTACACATGGCCAGATTTCATCATTTCTCATTGCCATGGAGTATTCCATGGTATAGATAAACCACATCTTCTTGATCCATTCATCTGTTGATGGACACGTAGGCTCTTTCCATGTTTTAGCTATTGTGGAGAGGGCTGCTATGAACATTGGGGTACATGTGCTCCTATGCCTCAGCATTTCTGTATCCCTTGGGTAAATTCCCAGCAGTGCTATTGCTGGGTCCTAGGGGAGTTCTAGTGTTAGTTTCCTGAGGAACCTCCACACTGTTTTCCAGAGGGGCTGTACCAGTTTACATTCCCACCAACAGTGTAGGAGGGTGCCCGTTTCTCCACATCCTCGCCAGCATCTAGAGTTCTCTGATTTGCTCATTTTAGCCACTCTGACTGGCGTGAGGTGGTCTCTCAGTGTGGTTTTGATTTGTATTTCCTTGATGAGGAGGGATGCTGAGCGTCGTTTCATGTGTCTGTTGGCCATCTGGATGTCCTCTTTGGAGAAGTGTCTGTTCATATCTTCTGCCCATTTCTTCACTGGGTTGTTTGTTTTTCGGGCGTATAGTTTGGTGAGTTCCTTATAGATTCTGGATATTAACCCTTTATCTGATATGTCATTTGCAACTATCTTTTCCCATTCCATTGGTTGCCTATTAATTTTCTGGGTTGTTTCCTTGGCTGTGCAGAAGCTTTTAATCTTGATGAGGTCCCAACAATTTATTTTTGCTCTCGATTCCCTTGCTTTTGGGGATGTGTCAAGTAAGAAGTTGCTGCGGTGGAGGTCAAGGAGGTTGTTTCCTGCTTTCTCCTCTAGGGTGTTGATAGTTTCCTGTCTCACGTTCAGGTCCTTTATCCATTTTGAGTTTATTTTTGTGCATGGTGTGAGAAAATGATCTAGTTTCATTCTTCTGCATGTTGCTGTCCAATTCTCCCAACACCATCTGTTAAAAAGGCTGTCTTTTTTCCATTGGATATTCTTTCCTGCTTTGTCAAATATCAGTTGGCTGTATACTTTTGGGTCCACTTCTGAGTTCTCAATTCTGTTCCATTGGTCTATGGGTCTGTTTTTGTGCCAATACCATACTGTGTTGATGATGACAGCTTTGGAGTAGAGGCTAAAGTCTGGGATGGTGATCCCTCCCGTTTTGGTTTTATTTTTCAGTATTACTTTGGCTATTCGGGGTCTTTTGTGGTTCCATACAAATTTTAGGATAGTTTGTTCTAGTTTTGAGAAGTATGCTGATGCAATTTTGATTGGAATTGCATTGAATGTGTAGAGTGCTTTAGGTAGTAATGACATCTTAACTATATTTATTCTTCCTATCCATGAGCATGGAATGTTTTTCCATTTCTTTGTGTCTTCTTCAATTTCCCTCATAAGTTTTCTATAGTTTTCATCATACAGATCTCTTGTATCCTTGGTTAGGTTTATTCCGAGGTATTTTATGGTTTTTTGTGCAATTGTGAATGGGATCAGTTTCTTGATTTCTCTTTCTGTTGCTTCATTGTTGGTGTATAAAAATGCAGCCAATTTCTGTACATTGATTTTGTACCCTGCAACTTGGCTGAATTCTTGAATCAGTTCTAGTAGGCTTCTGGTGGAGTCTGTCAGGTTTTCGATGTAGAGTATCATGTCATCTGCGAAGAGTGAAAGTTTGACTTCCTCTTTGCCAATTCTGATGCCTTTGATTTCCTTTTGGTGGTCAGACACTTAATTGACTGAGCCCCCAGAAGTCAAAGCTTTTTAAGAAGAAAGAAGTATGTCTTTGTGCTATAATTTTTCTACACTGCTTGATTAAATCCATCATTATTTTTTATCTCCACATCTACTGCAAATAATTTTTTCTTCTGTCTTCAGGCTGTAAAGAGAGAGATCTTTGGGAATGTCCATCCAATAAACAATGTTTAAAGCACACAGTCATCTGTGATGGGTTCCCAGACTGCCCTGATGCCATGGATGAGAAGAACTGTTGTAAGTGCTTACCTTGAACTGGCCAACACAAGTCTTTTAATGTTAAACACTGATTATTTTCCATTTTGAATATAATCTAGAAATTTGGAAATATGTATCAAAAGCTTTTAGTATGCTCACATCTTTTGAACAAATCTCCGCTTATAAAAATATATGCAAGAAGGTAATCAAACATGTGTAAATTATATACACAGTGATAGTATTCTAGTATTATTTGTCACAAGGAAAAATTAAAACACCCCAACTATCCAAAAAGAGGGGACAGAAAGTACAATCCTAAAATGCAATAATATGCAAACATTAAAAATCAAATGGAAAGAATAATTCCTCCTGGGTTCATTACATATCATTAGGTGAATAAAACAAAATATAACGTACTATGTGCACTATTGTCCTGAATTTTTAAAGTGCTGATACCCACATAAAAGAAAGATCAGAAAGTCACAAGAAACAGTTTACAATTTTCATCTCTAGGGCTGGGATTATTAAGTGGGGTTTTTTTTTTTCTGTCTTTTCTACATTTTCTAAATGATTAGCCACTACTTTTTGAACCAGAAAAAAAATTATCTCTCAAGATATTTTATCTACTAGTAACAGAAAGCCCAACCCAGGCTGACTTAAACAGTGAAGATTTTTATTTTATTTTATTTTATTTTATTTTATTTTATTTTATTTTATTTTATTTTATTTTATTTTCATATGTATCACATATGTCCTGTATTATAATTTTAAAAGTCAAGTACAAGATAGATTCTTGATGCTAGATGTGGGAGTTCAGCACCTCTTCTGTGATTCTTTTAGTTCAGCTTGACTACAGACTAGATCTATGAGAGTCAAAAGATGGCTGCCACGAGCACCTGGGATTCCATGCTTTCTTGATCATATCCGTGGGAAGGAGTGATGATGACCTTGCCTTCATCTTTGGAATATCACTTAAGGATTCACTCAGATTGGCCAACTTTGAGCAAGGTTCCAGCTAGCATTCAGGGGTCTTTGTGTGGATTAGAAAATACCGCCTAAATAGCTGGACTGCAAAAAGAAACACCCCTCAGGGAGAACCAACTAGAAAAAGATGCTGTTTCCTCCAGGCTGCCCCTGTCCCCAGCTGGGATGCATGATCTGGCCAGCAGGGTTTGGGTAGGAACTATCTTAGAAAGCACAACCCAAGAAATGGTAGGCCAAAACTCTGATCTTGGGTCCCATGCTTTCCGTTGGACTAATAACCGTACTCAGAAAAAAATAGTTGTAGCTAGAAAGTGCCATGTCCCACTTACACTAGTCAAGATCTCCTGAAGCTGTGGGAACATGAACAAAATCAGGTTCCCTTAAAAAACGAGAAAGAAAGGATATAGATCTTAGGCAGGCAATCAGGGAGTGTCACTATGATTTAAAAAAACCAACAGAATTAGTATGTGATTCAGGGAGTCATTTAATAGTAGAGATTTTAAAGAATAAACATGATCCATATTATGTGGACAGAGCTTGTTTCCATCCTGTGGTCACTTCATTTTGCTCATCCCCAGTGCTTGCCTCGTGCTACTTCAGATTTTAACCGTTCTCTCAATTTTTGGAATTTTTGCTGCTCTGGGTACCACTTTTTCAATCCTGGTGTTAGACCTAGACAATTTAGTCAGGTAGAGATGGTACTATTGTTTAAATGATCGTTGTTTGTATGGATACGCATCTATAATAGGAGTTTTTACCAATTCTGTTATTCTGTCCTGATACCTGTTTGGAGGCCTCAGTGACCACAGCTTTTCTTCCTTCCATGCTCCTCCTGACAGATGATAATGTGCATGTTAATGATAGCCACGCTTGTTTCTGAAATGTTTCCATCGTCTCGCTTCTTGTTCCCCATGCCAGCACTTTGCCAAGATGATGAACTGGAATGCGCAAACCATGAGTGTGTGTCCCGTGAGCGCTGGTGTGATGGTGAAGCCGACTGCTTGGACAGTTCTGATGAATGGGACTGTGGTGAGCCACGTGTTTCTGCCATTGACTGCCCCCTGGAACACCTATCAGCTACTTAAGCTTAATACATCCTAAGTGACTTCACAGAATTTACTAATCAATTTCATCTGTTTTGTTTTACTATGATAAAAGCTGGCAGTAGTGATTCATAGATGTTGTTTCCAACTCACAGAACATTTCCTCTTAAGTTATTTTGCTATTTGAATTGTCTATATTATATGTGAAAACATTTGGGCTTGAATTCTTATGACCATATAACTGCTAGAATACAATATTAAACTCTTTATTATCACTCAGCTTCAACAACTATTAATATTCTGTCATTCCCATATCATTGACACCTCCTGGAATAGGGTATTCAAGTGGGTCTTCCATGTGACCAGACATTTCTCCAGATAATACATGCAAATGGCTAAGGCACATAAAAAGACGCTCAACATCGCTCATCATCAGGGAAATACAAATGAAAGCCACAATGAGATACTACCTTACATCTGTCAGAATGGCTAAAATTAACAACTCAGGAACCAACAGGTGTTGGTGAGGATGCAGAGAAAGGGGAACCCTCTTATACTGTTGGTGGGGATGCAAACTGGTGCAGCCACAGTGGAAAACAGTGTGGAAGTTCCTCAAAAAGTTAAAACTAGAACTACCCTACATTCCAGCAATTGTACTACGAGGTATTTACCCAAAGGATACAAAAGTACTGATTCAAAGGGGGCACATTTACCCCAATGTTTATAGCAGCATTAGCAATAATAGCCAAATTATAGAAGGAGCCCAAATGTCCATTGATGAATGGATAAAGAAGAGGTGGTGTATATGTATATATATATACATATATATTTATATGTTTATATATTTATATATATTTATATATTATATTTATATATATTTGTATGTGGTGTATATGTATATATATATAATGGAGTATTACTTGGCAATCAAAAAGAATGAAATCTTGTCATTTGCAACAGTGTTGTTGGAGCTAGAATATGATATGCTGAACGAAATAAATCAGTTAGGAAAAGACAAATACTGTATTATTTCACTCATATGTGGAGTTTAAGCAACAAAACAGATGACCATAGGGAAAGGGAAGGAAAATTAAAATAATAGGAAAACAGAGAGGGAGACAAACCATAAGAGACTCTTAATTACAGAGAACAAACGGAGGGTTGATGGAGGGGAGGTGTGGGGGGATGGGCTAAGTGGGTGATGGGCATTAAGGAGGGAACTTCCTGTGATGAGCACTGAGTGTTGTATGTGAGTGATGAATCACTAGATTCTACTCCTGAAACTAATACTACACTGTGTGTTAACTAAGTTAACTAATTTTATTTTAAATAAAATTTGGGAAGAAAAAAAAATTAAATGCTGATGGAAAATCCAACCAAATATATTAAAAATTTTGAAATAAATTATTATTAATTATCTTTAAAAAGTGGGTCTTCCATCTTCCCTGTACTCTTGCTCCAGATCCAAAGGCAATAGATGTCTAACTATCTAGCTCCTTACATGTACAGGACCTAAAGGCATCTCCCACCAGCATCCAGTATTACAGTTTGTAATCTTGGGTTTGATTAATTCTCTTGTTCCACATTCATCATCTTTCCATTCACTGGACTCTTATTTCAGTCCTTTGCATCATCTGACCACATCATGATCATCATCTGTGCTGTGATTAATTGCATAGTGTTTCACAAGGAGTCTATGGTGTAGGAAGTAGAGAGGATGCTCTATTACAAAATAGGAATTAGCGTATACCAAAGTAGTCCTAACTTAACATCACTTGCATACCCTTGCCTTCTCACATGCTTTCTTGAAAGGAAGTGAACAAAGTGACAACTAACTCCTGATAGTAGTGCAAATCACTGGATAAACTCACCGGATGGAGTGCTGCCTCTGGTCATATTGTAACTCCTAAAGAAAAGTTAAGAACTTCCCATCTCTTTCCCTAGAGCCTGTGGTTCCTGGAGGGCAGAGAACATTTCTAATTCACTTTTGCAGTTTTCCACAACACTGAGAGTGGTGCTAAGCACAAGGCAAGCGCTCACCAAGTGGTTCTTTTTTTTTTTTTAATATTTTTATTTATTTCTAGGAGAGAGAGAGACAGCGTGAGCAGGGGAGGGTCAGAGAGAGAGGGAGTCACAGACTGAAACAGGCTCCAGGCTCTGAGCTGGCAGTCAGCACAGAGCCCGACGCGGGGCTCGAACCCACGAACTGCGAGATCATGACCTAAGCAAAAGTCGGACGCTTAACCGACTAAGCCACCCAGGTGCCCCTCACCAAGTGGTTCTTAATTAAAAGAATGAAAAACAAATGCAAGTGAGGCAAAAGCATGTAGAGTTAGCATTTGGTTCCTGAGCAGAAATGTTTCTCATTAGGGTTTTTCCCTTTCTTTTTTTCCCCTCAGTGACCCTCTCTAAAAATGTGAGCTCCTCTTCATTCCTGATGGCTCACAGATCTGCCAAAGAACACCACGTGTGTGCGGATGGCTGGCAGGAGACATTGAGTCAGCTGGCCTGCAAGCAGATGGGTTTAGGGTAAGGTCAGTAGTTTGTAGCACTGATGAATTTCTCAGAGGGCTTCGCAGAATTGGCAATAACATCTTCCTTATGAATGCAGAGTGAGTTAGTGCTCTCACATAGAGCCCTCCAGAGCTCGGGAAATGAATCAGGTGAGAGGACCATATTTAATCACAGGCACCTGCTCTGAAGAGATGGAAAGCTGGGGTGAAAAGCTGTTCTGATGAAGCCTCCCGCTACATGTAAATGCAGTCGTTGTGTTTTAACAACTTCTGAAAGGAAACGCTTTCAGTATTTGCAAAAGCATTAAGATGGTTTCCTCCAAGCAACCTGGATGGGGAAATTGTGAGGTTTTTCTACCAAGAGGTTATTGAAAATTTCTTTTTAAGCAACACAGATTTTTTAATAAGTTGAGAAATAGAACTTAACATTGACGGCATTTCAGTTTACCCTCAGTAGTAATTCAGGAAATGTAAATCAGGAAACAGTTCACCATTTTTGCTCCTTAGTAGAATGAAAAGACACAAACTCTGGCTTTGATACAAAAAGGCTGAAACCCATACTTTGAAAGTTGGATACTTGATGTTTTGTGGGGTTTTATTTTTTCAGTTCTGTTGGGGATGGAAAACAATAACGGAGGATCTTAGATGTATCTGTGAGTGTATGTTTTCACATATTTTTTGTTTGTTTGTTTCTACCACTGATGTATGTGAGATTTGGGGGGAAATGTTGAAATGATGGAAATAAAAGATGAAGGAATTTTAAAATCCTAGAATAAAAAATTAAGTAAATGTCATTTCCCAGGATTCCACTAAATGCACTTGAAACAATGTTTCAATAAAGAGCTATGAATTATGGGTCAGAAACTAGCAGCCCATTTTTGTTAGCTCAGTTTGAAGAATGACACAAATCCCAGTATCTTCAATCCATTTGTCCCATGTAAAGTCTTACATCTTTGGAAAATTGAGTAACTGATGCTAATATGTAAGAAAGAACTTTCAACATTGCAAGAATGGAAAAATTATAACCATCAAGATCCATTAAATTATATTTCATTTTCAGCACATCCTTACAGTGTCTAAATGAAATGGGATGTGACTATGACGAGAGATAAATGGTAAGCCTTTTGAATGAGCTTTATTTTCCTCTCACCAAAACACAGGTTATATCTTAATATGAAAACTTGATTACAGAATGATTGATAACTCTGTTCAGACTTCTGAGGAAAAGTTGCAATCGCAAAGGTTTTGCCAGCAGAAAAATTCTTCCAACAGGCCACCCTATTCTATTATAAATAGAAGGGATCTTGTTTTAAATATTCTCTTTGATATTTATTCTAATTTTTTTGTACATTGGATTTTTATTTTGATGAAATACACACAACATAGGTCACCATCTTCACCATTTTAAAGGGTAAATTCAGTGGCATTTAGTGTATTCACAATACTATGCAACCATCTCCATTATTTGGCTTCTTTCACTTAGCATCGTGTTTTCATGCCACTGTGGATCAGCATTTCATTGCTGTTTATGGCTGAAAAATATTACATTGCATGGATCCACCACATTTTTAAACCTGTACATCCAACGAGGCACATTTCAGTGGTTTTCACCTTTGGATATTGTATTCACATTGGCTTTTTAAATAAATTTCTTATGCTACTTCTTCATCTCCTTAAAATAGTGGGAAAATGTTATTTCAATCGACTAGATATTTAAAACCTAAAAAGACGCTTAGATTTTCTTTTAAGATACCTTTATTTCACAGAAAGGCTAGGAAAATCTGAGAGAGCAGTGTGGCTGGAAACCATAACCATTATTTGAGTGAGTTAATAGTGGATAAGTAGTGATAAGTCTTCTAAGGAAGTGAGTAAGAAGGGTACACTTTGTATTTTTGTACTTTCTGATTGCCTTCACGGGTACTCTTCAGTTTTCTTGGGAGGATCATGAATTGACAGAAATCTAGAGAGCCAGGCTAGGGCAGAAATGAAGACAATGGCAAGCTGAGGCTATTCATTCCTGCGGTAGGAATGGGCTACTTGGGAATCCACTGTCCCTGGAGATCAACAGCCATGCTGTGAATTACAGTTCTGCTGCAGATGCCTCAAACTCGAAGTAACCCTGCACCCTGAGTCATTTCCTCTAGATGCAAAGTCCCTACAGCAAGTTCTGTCTGGCCATGATTAGTCATTGATTTACACTCCAGTTGCCAGAAAGAGGGAAAACATTATAGCTGTCCTCCTTAAGCTTCTGGAGTGGAGTAGGTCTGTCTTTATACCTTCAAATGTGCTTTACACAAGAAAGTTGAAGTTTAAAACACAGCCCCAACTAGTTCGATTCAGTATCTCTTTCCTATTGTCTTTTGTTTTGTTTGTTTTTGAGTATCTGCTTATGGGCCTTGAACCGGAATAGGCATTGTGTGGAGGATGCAAAGGTGAAAACATCATCAAAGAGCTTATCATGTAGTGGGGAAGACACATGAGGAAACAGCCTAGAACATAAAGTCGTTGGAAAAAAATTCCAGACTTTTTGTCATCTGAGAATGACTCATGTACAGTATAACACATGGCATACCTACTAAAGGTATGTAAGAAAAATATTCAACTCTAATATTGTCTTGCTATTATAATATACACTTACTAAGTTATTTATTTAGTCATTCAGTAAACATTTATAGAGAATAGCATTGTAGTGTAGTGTCCCAAACTAATTAACTACATTAACTAATTAACTACATTAAATACAAACTAATTAACTACATTAACTCCAAATGGGGAGGAGGAAGGAGCTAGTTTATAAAAATGTAGGTCTAGACCAAATTACGTGTTTTGCGGGTCTTCTATTGAAATATTTTCATGATAGAGGCAGTTGATTAAAAAACACCTGCACTTGGAGTTCTTCAGACCCAAATTACACCTTCCATGTCTAATAGCACAAACACTTAGCTCTCAACTAAGTGCTTGCCCAACTGAGAAGATTGAGAGTTCTTTGCTAAATCTGCACAACTTTTAACTCACATCTGCAGATATCTTGAGTTCAGCCCAGTCTGGAAGTATGATGACTATTCGATTGGACAAGAATATAAATCAACCCGTAATTGTCACGACAGTACATTGACTTTGCTACCTACACATCCAGTATTAAAAACATACGGACATTTATTTCATCAACAATACAAATCAGAACTTAGACTGCCCTCTAATACTTGCCAAATGTTCAGTTGAGACATCTGTTATTTGAGAAAGTTGGTCTAAGAGAGAATGTGATTCTTTGCGTCTCTTGGCTTCATAAACTTTATATAAAACCAGATCATCTGGAAATAGGCTATTTTACTTTAACAAAAATTCCTTTATGGGATTAGTTGCAATTTGACTTTGTCCTAATGTTTTAGAGTTGGTCAATAGAAGCAATATGCTTCCAAGGAATATTTCTTTGTCTTGGGCAAAACTATAAAGATAGCCTCAACTGTATTAACTAACAGTCCCTGATATAAGGATTTACATCAAAATCTTTTTCCTAAAGTGTACTTCCAGGGAAAAGCTTCTAACTTCAGAATTCATTCATCATGTAAGGATGGTTTCGTATTGATTGACTTCCATGAAGCTCAGAGACAGACTAAATCCTCTGTGGTAGTAAATCTAGCCTAGGTTGCTGGTCCTGTACAAGTAAACCATAGAAAAGAAGCTTGAAACCCTATGGTCCTTTTTTAAAATACAATATAATTCATATACCATAAAATTCACTCTTTAAAAGTATACAATTCAGTCATTTTAATATATTCACACTATTGTGCAGTCATCACCACTGAGTCCTTAACATTGCTTCACTTGGAAAAGAAACTCCATGTCTCTTTTTTTTTTTTAATATATTTTTTTTAAATTTATTTCCAGGAGAGAGAGAGAGACAGCGTGAGCAGGGGAGGGTCAGAGAGAGAGGGAGATACAGACTCTGAAACAGGCTCCAGGCTCTGAGCTGGCAGTCAGCACAGAGCCCAACGCAGGGCTCAAACCAACGAACTGCGAGATCATGACCTAAGCGAAAGTTGGATGCTTAACCAACTAAGCCACCCAGGCGCCCCAAGAAACTCCATGTCTCTTAGCAGTCACTCCCTGTTTCTCCTCCCTAAACCCCTGACAAGCACGAATTTACTTTCTGCTTCTAGAGACTTGCCCATTGCGCACATTTCACAAAAACAGAATCATATAATATGTGCTTTTTTTGTCTGGTGTCTTTCACTTAGCATAATGTTTTCAAGGTTTGTCCATGTTTTATAATATGTATCAGTGCTTCATTCCTGTCTATGGCTGAATAATATTCCATTGTGTAGATATATCCACATTTTGATTACCCACTCATCAATTGATGGGGATATTTATTTCCATTTTTCTTTCTTGGCTCTTATGAGAATGGTGCTAAGAACATTAATGTACAAGTTTTGTGTGAGTGTATGTTTTCAGTTTCTCTTGGGTGTATACTCAGGACTAAAATTACTAAGTCAAATTTTTAATTTTTTGAAGAACTGCCAAACTGTCTTCCAAAAGGGCTGCACCACATTTTACTCTCACCGGCAATGCATGAGGGTTCCAACTTTTCCATATATTATGTCAACACTTGTTATTATTCATTTTTTATTATAGCCATTTTCTGACCACTTTTTGCTATAGACATTTTCTGGTTGTAATTGAGAATGTGCTGTAGGAAGGCAAAGGTAAGGGCAGGAAGACTAGTTAGGAGGCCATTGAAGTAATCCAGGTAAGACATTTGGGTGACTCAGATCAGAATGGTAGCAGAGAACATGGTGGTAAATGGTTTGATCCTGAATATATTTTATAAGGTGAAGTCAACATGATTCACTGACAGACTGGATGTTGATTGGAGATTGAGAAGAGTCAAGAAAGAGAAGAGTCAAGAATGACTGAAAGGTTTTGTTTTGTTTTGTTTTGTTTTGTTTTTTTGGCTAGAGCAACTGGAAAGACGGTGTTGTAGTAAATTGAGATGGGGAATATTGTAGATGCAGC